CCCTGCGCCACGACGACCATAGTCTAAGTAGTAGTTCCGTAGCTCCTGATTTATTTAGATAGGAGAGATATAAGTTGTGCAAAGTGTTTTTTATAAATGCATTCTTGTGCAGCTCTGAATTATTTATAAATATATATTTATATATTATTACTGTGAAATCGCTGTGTGCCTCCCTCAGCCTGATTTTCTTCTTCTTCCTTCGGCTGTCCTGCTATCTTGCCTCTGTCCTCTATGCGTCTCGGCCATTGTTGCACTGCGTGCCAAAATGGTTTAGTTACGTAATTAGAACGCACAGAGGAGATCGGACTGTGACCTTTCCATGTTTCCATTCTTATCTAATCAAGGAGTCGTAGCACACTGAATGCATCTTAATTAAATTAAACTTAAAATACATTTAAACAAGTGCAGCACTCTCAACAAATATTATTTTGTATTATTTATTTGTCGCATTTCCCAGCGACCTCATTGTCCTGGCATCATTATGCAATGATCACTTATCGCTACACACAAAATGTGAGAGCGAGTAACACCAAGTAGACCAAACATTCTAAAACTGCCACATTTCACAGCCCGAAAGACTTTACATTTAAAGAGGACATTTTTTTTTGACCCAGAATCATGAAACGCAGCTTGCAAGCCTATTGGTTCCGCTGCTAAACCGAAGTTCTAATTATAGTGGTGGTTTTCGCATTGCTAGACAATTTTCTATATTTGGAGAGAGCATCTGCTTGAGTCCTCTTTGTGTTGAAGCAACGGATCTACAGTAAGCACGAGGAGTGCTAGATGATGTATTCCAAGATGCTGCAACATTTCTTTCAATAACCGTCTCTCTAATGCACCGCACTAAGTGGGCATGCGGCACAAATGCCATTTCCAGTTGTCCTGACATCTAAAGGGCTCAATATTCAGATAGTTAGACGTGCCTAGAGTCCCTGTGACACCCGCTTACAGACAAAGGGAAGCAGTGCTGCTGCCGTTTCCTCCTCTGTTCAATAGGTTATTGATGAATTTGCTCCTAATATGCGTTTTTTACTGCAACTTGTCGATTTGCACAGGGGGTTGGAAGAGGGTCCACCAGCCATGGACCTTCCCTTTATTCACAACGGGGACATTATTTTACCACCCAAGTCAATGGACATGGAGAATTAATAAAGAGTGTACCCCAAATAATTATTCCAAATATGGAACAGATAAAATGACAAAATGGTATTTGTTTATTTTCTCTTGCAGTGATTGAGGATGAAATACTATCACATGACCTGAAACGTTCTACAGTGATGTTTCGGTCACATAAGTTTTACATGATGATTTGAGATCAAATAAAGATTCACCCGATAAGAACCGCAGTCTGTGTAGAAAGGTTGGTTTGCTTTTAGAAATTGCTCTTTTGTGAGCTTATTTTAACCTTGATAAACTTATTTTTACCTGGTACAAGCCTCACGTGCATTACCACTAACTGGTTGACTGGCACCAGCCAGTCTGTGAAGTCTACCTGCTGCCCTAGAACCCTGCACACAGTGACGGGACCAGAAAGATGGTGCTGACGCTGCTTTCGGGACACACACACACACGCTATTGTCACAGTTGGACATCAGAGCATGCTGCTTTTGTAATTAAACTGGGGGTGACACTTTTTGCTGTTTATTCATCATGGGGCATTGCTGCAAGGTGACTCTGAGGGTTGTTTCTCCTACTTGCACACTCATGCAGCCACTTGCACACCAACAAATATGCACTGGACTTTGACAGATGTCACAGTGGCCTTCAGCCCTCATGACTCACACACACACACACACACTTTCGACAACCACGCTTAGTCACCTCTCTCCCTCTTCAGGACTCATCTGTGTGCCGGTCAGTTGACTAATTCGTTGTCAGCTGACGTCACTGAGCTCTCGCATCGAATGGACTTTGATGGGAGTGTGACAGGCGACAGCTGTTGGTGTTGATTAATAACAGTGACATCATCTCTGACTTGGTGAAAAGTGTCAAGGATGTTGCAATTCTTTAGGCAATCGATGTGTCCAGTCGCCGACCCCGTGTCCATGGGCGCGTTGGCCTGCTTGCGGGAGAGAAAGGTTTTCCTAAGTGAAACGAAGGAAGGAGGAGAGGTTTTACGTAACCCGTTTCAACCAATTGAGAGTCCAGTTCAGAGTGGTTTGGGAAGTGCTGAGGCCACTTTTAGGGACAAAGGTCATGGCACAAAGGTCATCTTTTTAATTTTTACTTTTAATAGAAATATAAATTGCCAACAATGGACGAAAAAAGACCAGTTGGAGGATTTCTGCTGCACTGCTGCCTCTGGTCAACTCTCAATCACTGATTTTAGTCACTAAAGCAGTTTTCCATCATCGTCAGAGACAGAATATAAAGCCCACAGCACCAAAGTACGTTGAATTGGGATGTCTCTTCTACACGTTCCACAGTGGGTCCCTGTTATCAGACATGCAGACACAGGATGGCCGCTGTCAGCCTCGGATGACTGTTGTGTGCAGCTGAAGTAGCAAGGAGCTCAAGGTCTGAGCCCCATCAATCAGTGCGATGGGCGGTGAAGTATTTTTTTTTTCCGTTGCAGCCGTTTTGTTTCATCATTCGAACAATGCTGAAGCATCACTTTGGTAACAGCAGCAAAACGGAGGGTGATTTAAAGCTACGGTTTGAAGCCGTTCACTCACAGTAACATGACTTTGCACTAACGCTGGAACATCTCCGCTCAGGCGGATCATTTTAGGTGCAGTGGTGAGAATAATTCAAACCAGCTGAAAGCAGAGAAGGGAAGCATTGTCGTTTTTGTGTATTCTTCTGCTATAAACTAAGTTAGAACATTTTAAAAGCTCCATGAAATATAGAACAGCCTGTAAGAATTGGGATAGCACTGTTTTCCGTTTCATTGGATCGCAAATGAGGCAACGGCAACTAGGAGGTTACATCTCTGACTTTAATTTGCAGGTGTCTGCATCCTCAATGAACCTTGAGTGAAACCTTAGAAACGGGTACAACCTAAATGACTTATTTCAAATTTAGTGTGATCGGTTTGTTTGAAATATTCAGTGATCCTCACTCAACACTCGTTTGCAATACGTATATTACAACACAGAACACTTCTTGTCTGTTTTTAGGCATTAACACACCATAATGGTTTTTGGGTTGCTTTTTTTTACCTCTCTTTGCTGCTTCGGGTCTTGCTGAGCCCTGCGAGAGTTGACAAAACTGTCTGCAACAGGACGGAGGAATTTCTGCAGCGCCTCATGAGACTGCTTACTGTCTGCATCGCCCAAATAAGCCTTGACATGTAATTCCCCTCAACTCGCCACCTCTGGGCTCCGTCTACCACTAAACCGCGTGTTTACCTCAGAGGTCACTTCAAGCTTCCCAACCACCTCCTTTAAAATCAACCTAAAGGGTATGTGACTTTTCTTTAAATTCAAACCTGATTCCCTATATTTTATTTGCTTGTCCCAGGGGGCGAAGCACTGTTGACTACGCAGCGAGCCAGCATCTGTTTGGGCTCACCTCCATTAGTTTGTTGAGTGACCAGCGTCGCCGGTAGCCCCTCCCACTGGGCGCCGCCGCCTCGCTCTCCCTTTTTAAACTTTCATCCATCCAGGCTGCGGTTTACGGGGCCCGGAGGCATCGCTCGTTATACTGTGAAGTTTCAATTGCTGCCTGACCTCTTCCGTCCAATTTCATGGCTGCTTGAGGTGCCCGTGCCCCCCCCCCCCCCCCCCCGCCGCCAACCCCCCGCCGCCCCGCTCCGAAACTCTGTAAACGAACCAACCTTTGGCTCGAGGCGACAACTCGTCTCGGCAAGACGACGACGAGAGGGAGATGAATTTAGTTCGAGTGAATGTCAAGCCTTGTTACTCTGCCTCTCGGGTAATATGGTTTGGGCACTCAAGAGTCCAGGCGTTCTCCCTCATTCTTATTTCACACCCACTCTCGCACAAATAGCAGCTAATAGACAAAATAAACCATCTGTGGCTTTGGAAAATGGAAAATCTCAAATTAATCAGATTGGACCAGTGCTTGCTGGTCACAATTTGTCTCAACGGGGTATTTTGTAAGCTACATTTTCAGTAACACGCAGCTTTGCTTCGTTGGGGATCTGTATCTCATCCTCAATGTCTGTGTCTCTGAAATAAACCACAAACACGTCAACATAGATTGTCTCTGTCAGAGCATATATTTCTCTACTCCGTCTCCTGGAAAATGTTGTTGTATTATTATTATTATTATTAATCGAGCATGCTGCCCAAGGATTTATTTATTGAAGTGTCAGAATGATCACATATGATCATTAAACATTTTTCACAATGAATGTAGTGCAGAGGCCTTAAGCAGCAGCATTTTGATGATTTCATCAGTAACATTTTCCATCGAAGTGGTGTTTATCTGCAGTAGGTGTGTGTGTGTGTGTGTGTGTGTGTGTGTGTGTGTGTGTGTGTGCTGCTTGGCCCTGTTGTGCATCAGTCAGGTTTTCATGTTCAGGTCACAATTCTTCAGGCCCAATTACATATTTATAGACGGAAGGCCACCATATGGCGTGAGTGGGGAGAGAGGGACACAGTAAATGGAGCTTTCCTGTCCCATAAGTTTGCATATTAAAGAAACTTAACTTCGGGGAATTTATGCTGTTTTGCCGACAGAACAGCATTTCTTTAAAAAAGTTTGTACATCCATGTATTCTGTCAAACTTTGTTTTTTGTCCTGAATATGTTTTACAAACAATTCAAATATTTCGTGGCGCTTCCATCCCATAAGTAAAGGCATAAACCATCTTTGCTGAACAGGCAAACTACACAGAGGCTTTGTGACCCAAATCCAGAGCCATATACATTATGAATTATACATGAGGGGAAACTTTATTACTAATTCCTGTGTTAAGTGTCACTAAAAGATAAATTGCTGCCATGGAAAAGCTTTATTCACCGGTATCTTTCAATGAAAACTGCTTCACTGTACTGAAGGTGACAACTTTTCTCTCCCCAATGTTTCCACAGCCAGTGAAAACTGCCCCGAATTTCACCCAATGTTCTTCACCCACGATCGCTCCTTTGAGGAATTCTTCTGCATCTGCATCCAGCTGCTCAACAAAACCTGGAAGGAGATGAGAGCCACGAGTGAAGACTTCAACAAGGTACACGTCATTTGTGTGTTTTGGGGGACAAGACCAGGAGAAGAATAGGAAGTGCTCCGTTTTCAACCCAGCGTACCGACTAAACAGTAATGAGTGCAGTCACTCTGGAAAAGTGACTAAATTACTTTTTGATACCAGAATGCATTCCGGGTTTGTTTGATTGTTCTGTTCAAGGGTGTTGATGGTGGAACACCCTTAACTGGAAAACTGGAAAACAAATTGTATAAAGAGATGTTTCAGCTCCAGGAATATTTGTTTTATAATTCGAAAATAGCCTAATTACTTTTTTCAGTTTGACCTCTGCAGTTTTTTATATTTAAAAAAAGAATTGTACCCAGTAAGAGGCAACATCCTAATAATTCAAAACCAGAATAATATAAAAAAACGAGACCTCTGCTGTCAAAAAATAGAAACAAATGAGCAGCACTGTTACATGAACGTTGAGCAACAGATGTGATCTAGAGCGTCTATTTGGCTGCATAATATGTAATATGTATGAATGTTTGAGCTGCTCTGACAGACACTTGGTATTTTCCAACAAGAAAAGTTTCAATCTGCTTTGATAGTTTAGACATTTACTATGATGATAACACAGAGGGGGAAAATACGCTATTTATTTCTTAATTACGGCACAGTGGGATGTGTGGAATGCGTCGTTGGTTTCTGTTGATTGCGCTGGCAGCACTCACAGCTCATTCTGAAACATGAGATGAGATATTCCTTTATTAGCTGTGAAATTCCTGTTCAACTTTAGAATGACGTTGCCAAGAGTCCCATGCAAATAGCAGGCCTGATTAAGGTCCATGGACATGTTTTCTTCTTATTTGTACAGATGAACATGCGTTTCCTCTTTGAGGGCACAGATTCAGAGCAGGAACTGCACGCACATCTCGCGGGGCTCTTTTAGACTTTGAATTATTTTTGAATGAATGTATTTGCTCCTTTTCTGATATGTAATTTTGCTGCCTCTATTGGCCGACTCACTGGTTGAACTGCTACTTCTTTATTTGGAGCTTTTTCCTTTCTGGATGAAGATGAAAAACTCCCTGGAAGCTGTGAAATGAGTCACGGCTCACACAGGAAGGACGCGCTGCCAGGCGACGATAGTAATGACGTGTTTATGACCAATTATTGTATGTTGTGAATTCAATTGGGCATCAGATGCAGCGTTCAACAGATGCCCTCTCCCTTTTCCATGATTCAAACTAATTATGATTATCTCACCGTGTCAAATACCAGTCTGTCGAAAGATTCAATCAGCATAGAAACGGTTCCTCGTACATGAGCCTTCACCTCTTTGATTTCCCCTCCAAGTCACAATATCTCCCACTACCATTAATGTTAAGATATTATGCGATCGAGATGTTAAGCAGAATTATGTAGTCATCCTTTTGTAGCCGTTGTTGAGTCCACTTACAGTCGGTGGAAGTCGTCACCACATTCGGGTTTTGTACTTTTACTTAGATTTGAAAAAGGGAAATATTTAGTGTGATAGAACTAAATGTTGTAATGACCTGAAACTTAAATGATGGATATGCCAGGAGAGATGCAGCAATCTCTAGTGGACTCTGAAGGACTACCCCATCTCATATTCAGCTGTATTTCTAGTTCACCTTGAGGGGGAATTCAACACACACACACACACACACACACCCCTAGCAAGAGATCCATTATCCAATCCCATCCTTCACACCCCTACCTCGAAGGCGAGAGTCAGTTTCGATTGAGTTGGGATAGATGATGCTCCCCTTCCCTCGCCCCTCTTCCCTCCCCGACCTCGTCTTTCATCACTCTGTACCTCGGGAGTTTGAGATTCAGCAGCAGCTTGTCGATGGTGAGACGGTTTTCGTCTCGGGGGCTTCCTATCAGCTAAATGGTCCGTGCAGACTCTAACGCAGAGTGTCTCAGTTGCCGTGTCTGACCTCCCCCCCCACCGATGACGTCTGAATGTTATTTTTTCAAAAAGATGGAGGAGAGGAAGATGTTCCAGAAAGACACACTCGGGAACTGGGATAACTGAACAATCAACAAACGGATAACTATTTGGAACTAAAGAATTATACATAGAATGCAAAACTTAAATGAACTAATGACTTTCCTCAAAGGTTACAACATTAATGCAAGTTTGGATGAATGCTATCAAAGCTTGATTTGTATTACCAGTGAGTGCTCATTTGCTTAATGGTGGATAATGCAGCCATAGCTGTGAACGCAGTTTAGGATCAGTAATGCATAATAACAATTCCCTCTAAGCCACTTCCACTGATTTGGGAACAGTTATTGTCATTTAAACTGCAACCAATCGGTAATTTAACTGGACTGTAGCGAATGATGGGAGATCTTGTTCTTTTCATTTGGTGTTTATTTCACGCATTCAAAGCGTTAACTAAATACACAAAAAACACACATTCCGTCACACGGTAGAAAAACTGTGCACTAGTGCCTAATCCGCCCATCTCAGTTCCACCTGCTGCAAACATGCCGTCAATATAAGCAGGAAAATAAAGGGAGCGTCATGCCAACATATACACCAATATAATATATCCTCAATATAAGAATGTCCAATTAAACAATATACACACTTCGGACTTACATGGACCATTAAACTGTGTAGCTGCCTCATCGTCCTCCATATGTTTGCTTGTCAGTGTTTCAGTCGACCAAGAGTATTTATTTTTTATGATGTCTTGATGAATAACGAGTCTTCAGATTATAAAAGTCAGTGGTATTAACAGGGAGGCTCTGGTGTAGTGAATCTCACAGATGTGTTTTGTCTTTGGAGGAGCGATGATGTGTGAATGCAACGCCACATTCAGTCCCTCGTGCACCGACGTCACACAAAGCTAAATGCTCTCGAGCGCGTGCAGAAAGACAAACGAGCGGCGTCACGATAATCCTGCGGACGTCCACTTTTAAAAGACTGCAGGTCGTACGGCTGCGTCTCGCCGCGGCTCCCACGGCCGCTGCCAGACGGTGACGCCACCGAGCGTCCTGAGGTGTGGAACGCTAAAGCGACTTGTTGGGGTTTTGTCGATTATTTGGATGTGCGTGCGGCTGCCGCCTGCGAGTGTGCAAGCGTTTTCTTAAACGCTGAGGGCTCTTTCAGCCACTGGTTCTTCATGGCTGACTGAGCATCTGCCCTGCACGCACACACACACACGCACGCACGCACACACACAGGCTCTTGCATGCATTTATGTTCCTTACAGGCAAAGGCACACTGGCTTAGATGAAGCTTAAAAAGCTGTGGCACTGAATCCCCCACACCAACACCATAACACACACACACACACACACACACACACACACACACACACACCGTACAGAGCCAATATGCACCTGTGTTTTTCACTTGCAGAATGCAACGTAGTAAAAGACAAGCAAAGAGGTGTGTGTGTGTGTGTGTACATGTGTTTATTATTTTTAACGGAGGCTAGTCTGATGCTCCCAGGGTCGGGCTCCAACCGTCGAGCAACCGTTTCCCCTTGTTTCCATAGCAACCACTGTCCAATTACCGCTGCCGGGCTCTGGTTCTGCTTTGGGAAAAGATGGAGCCACTTCCACGCGGCTGCGTGCGTGTGCGCTTGTGTGTGTCTACCGGAGGCTCTTTCTCGAGCGGCTTCGCCGTCGTCTCCCTTCATCCAAACGTCTGAGCCGAGAGCTTCACCAGAGCAAAGAAAGCTTGCATCTCGCGCTGCTTAGCCGCTTGGAGGATAGAAAAATCCCTCACTGATGTAGCGTCTCGCAGCGACTCAGGATACCCCTCCTCCTCCTTTTCCTTCTCCTCTCTCATCCGCCCCCCTCCCTCTTGGTATAAACCTCTCCCTCTCCCTTCATACAGACACACACACACACACACACACACACACACACTTATCATGTGATTCACTTGCAGCACCACCATTGGCGTCTCTGATCGTGGCGTGTGTCCAATCAGGGCATAAGCCTGGAGATCAACATAAGCGAAGCAGAGCAGCCTGGCTGATGCTCTTAGAGTCTCAGAAGGAGGCAGATTGAGGCATGCAGACATTTTATAGTAAAGGAGACAGTTCAAGAAGGAACTAAGAGTTTGTTGTTAGTTTTTTATTTTTTAAATTGAAGGGAATGTGCTAAAAGAAAGAATAGAGAAGGAAACCTGAAGGAACAAAGAGCCAAGAGAGAACAGCACAAAAGGAGAAGGTGCACATGCTGCACTGACAGACGAGTCTTCCCTCATTGTGGCTAACGCTAAAGCTAACTGTCCACAATCAGCTAGAGCCAGGAGCCATCTGCTTCTTAATTCCATCCGTCCATCCATCCCGGTCTCCAGGCGGGCGCAAAAAACTCCGTCTCTGGCAAAAGCACGAGGATTCACTTATCACTGTGGAGAGTTTCACACTGCACTTGGAAACATGGAGGTGACATGTAAGTAAGAACGGAAATGAGAGCGAGAGTGGTTTTCAATTAGCATGGATGGATGGAGCAAAGGGAGCTGGTAGTAAAGGAGGAAGAGGGACTGTTTGTGTAGTTGCCTGGCTGCGGAGGAGGAGGAGGAGGAGGGAGGGAGGGAGGATGGAGAGTGGAAGGAAAAGGCAGGGATGGAGAAGATGGAATAGGGGAAGAGCGGAAGAGAAAGAGGAGGGACGAATGGGGCAGAAGACTCAGCGAGGCGTAAACAGGTTTGACAAGGACCCAGATTACAGCTTTTTCATTAACGCACACACACACACAAAATCTGCTATATTACAATTCTACCAACACACACCCACACATCTACATGCATGCATACTCACCCACCCCCATCACTCGGTGCTTCATCTGTATTCCAGATTGTGTGTGTGTGTGTGTGTGTGTGTGTGTGTGTGTGTGTGTGTGTGCACGTGCACAGTATACGTGTGGTGGGGGGTCGGGCTTTGTTGTTGTGAATGGGATTAGTCCACAACACCAGCGCCCAGCGTTTGTCACCAGAGGAATTGAATGCCAGTACCTCTGATCTCCTCCGCTCCACGCTGTGCCTCTCAGCCGTGGACGAGCTTCAGCCAGTGTTTTAGCCGGAGGGGTTTGACTCAGGATTAGAGGGAGGTCGAACCCGGACTGCGGAGGAAGGGGCCTGTGAAATAACTGCCAGGCTCGTTTTTATTTGTTTTGGACAAAACACAGAAATATTCTAGGTCCTTTTTGTGCTTTTGACACGTGGCTTTGTACAGAGGATCGTGTCCTGGCTACTTCACGACCTGCTATAATGAATCATACGCAGTTGTTTATCAACCGAGTATTATACAGCAATTTTTGACAACTTAATTTGATGTTTCATATTAAATTGAAAAAAAAAATGGAAAATGTTTTTTTCTCTTGTTTTTGACATTTCAGTAATGAAAAGTTATAAATTAGAAAATATTTTGTTTTAAAGCGACTTAAATTATATTTCTGCTGTCATTCCCATAATATGCTCACAGACAGTTAAGCCGAAGTCACTGTCCAAAGGGGAAGAAATCTTTCCAGCACTCTCCAGAGGTCAACGCTCATGTAATATCTAATGTGATTTAATTAAAGTGAAACAAACTAAAGGAAGAAATTGGGCTTTTCTGGGCTGCTGCTTATCTGGGCCAGGCCGGCCAATAGCACTCTGTACGCTTCATTAAGCTGACTGGCTGTATCTCCATATTAAACACACAGATACAAGAATATCTTGCTCATCAAAATGGCAAACTGACAGTTAAACAATGCACATTAGTTGCAGCTCGGTTGTACGTGTCCTTGTACGTGAAGCAGAGCAGAGCTTGTGTTTGCTCTGGCCCGAGTTTATCCACAGCAGAAGAGATAATCTGCTTTGTTCCCATGACCTGTCCCGTGTGGGATTATTTCACATGGCGATCCCTAAAAAGCCGCAGCAGCAGACCGACCTGTTTGTCTGCCCTCAAAAATCATTGCAAATGATTACTGGCTCTGCTCTTTAGCTTCCCGACTTTGCCAGAGAGGTTACCGTGCCGGCATACCTGTTTAGTGAAATGGGCGCGTCTGTTGTTGTCCGGTCAGAGGTGACTGATAATGCGAGTGAAGTTGTAAAAGGCTTTTGGGTGAAAACCCCGTTAGGATTCCAAAAAGTGGCTTGGTGCAGTTTGGTGAGGGCGCAGCACACGCGGGCGTAAGCCGGTAGCTGGGACTGTCGTAGCATGAAGCTGGACATCCATGACACTCGTAGTGGGACGCAGTAAACCGCCCCCCCCCCCCACTCCTCTTCTGCAACGAGACCCGCTGTTTTCTCGTTCCATACTGGTTTTATTTACGTCAAAGCCTCTAGATTTCCCCCCTCTTGTTCCTTCCCTCGATGTCTTTTCTTTCTCTTCCTCCAGTGCTCTCTCTCCCCCCCTTTTCCTCCTCCTCATTCTTGTCTCTCGACCCCCCCCTACCTCTATTGTTGAATTCAGACAGGCTATTTATATCTTTCTGCCTGGCTGCCTCACCTCCCACTCCCTTAACAAGGTTTGTTTTATTGTTTTTGCAATTGTGAACGTGCGATCGGACAGTGTGTCAATGTGTGTTTGTACTTGCGTTGCAATAGAACGGTGTGTTTGAGGCCTCGTATTATTGTTTTGTTTTTTATCACTTATTTTCATTTCAGTTTTATTTGTATGAACTTGTGCAAGGGCACTGTGTGAATGCCAAGCTTTGTCTCTACCCGCGGACCTGCTTTTTCTTCTGTGCGTTAGTTGTTTTGTGTGTGTGTGTGTGTGTGTGTGTGTGTGTGTGTGTGTGTGTGTGTGTGTGTGTGTGTGTGTGTGTGTGTGTGTGTGTGTGTGTGTGTGTGTGTGTGTGTGTGCGCGTGCGTGCGTCAGACCATTAGTTACATTTTGTTATGTTGTGTAATTTATTTGCATCTGTTTTTTGATTAGTCAGTGTGCATTTCTTTAATGGATATGAGTAGTAATTTTGTGCACAGAAGGCCGCACAGTGTATACTTGATTCTCCTTGTAGACGATGAAACGTCCCCACAAAGGCTCCTCGGTTCAGAATCTTATTGTGGAAAGGTGCTGGAAGAGAACTGAGGCTTTGATCTTCATTATTAATATCAGCTGATCATTTGCTGAAGTTTTATTAGAAGCTTTTCAGAATGAAACATTTTCTACAGAATGAATAGCAGCACGTAAATGTACAAAGCAGCTAACTAGCTGCGTAACACAGAGTCCCCGCGTCCCGCTGTGAATGGAAAAAAGCTAATTTAATGTGAAATGTGCTTGGAACTCTGCACACAAGCCTTCGCTACAGTTCTGCAGCCCTCCTTAAATCTTCAAATGGCCTCTGCAGTGTCGAACGTTGGTGTGAAAGGCCTAAATGGTGGCTGTTTGTATTATTAATGGAGAACTTAACTGACCTCAGTTTCTAGACCACCTCAGATCCAAAAAGGTATCTAAGCTGATGTTTCCATCAGTGGAATGAGTGCATTATGGGTAGACTCTTTGTTCCAGATGGGAGTCATTATATGAAATATAATAAAATAATAGGTGTTTTGTTGTCCTTGAATGGATCTTTGATCACAACCAATTTAAACATCCCTCCGGGACAATTAATGTAGAACGTTCACATTTCCTAACAACAACCGTGCCGCAATAAAACACTCATTAATGCAAAGCTGAGCAAAACGCCAAGGTCGACACTTGGCTTTCTTTCATCAGCACTTCTTGTCTCACAGTAAGTGGCGATTTCCCAGGCGAGACTCTGCTCTCCAGTCATCCAGATTGGGGCGTGCTGCACATCACGTGGAGCCTGTGGAGAAGAAGCTCCTCTGACAGTTTGTCTGGGCTTGCAGTGCTGGCAGTCTAAATATAACAGCAGCCGCTGTCGACCCTGAATCACCGACGGGGAAGGAAGAGTGGGGTTGATGGAGGGAAGTCTCCACACGTGTTGGGAATTCACATGGATGTTGTGCAGTGACCCTTGAAAACAGGCTTCCCGATGGGCTGAATGCTCTGCCTCTGGTGTTGCTGCATGCAAAGCTCTCATAACAACGTCCCACTCAACGCCGCGCTTCCTCGACTCCTCAGCAGCACACCTGCCGTGGCAGAGTTGGCATTAGTCACCGGCGTCGTAGCCGCACGCGGTCCAGATCGCCGGCGCGATACATTCTGGTGCGTCCGCTTCACAGAGTGCCGTTTGCTCGTTTATTCAAAGTGTATTCTTGTTTATTCTCATCGATGCTGCCAGGTGACTAAACTGCACCTAATTTGATAAAAGCCCTCCCTCGGTTTCCCCAGCAATGCAACCCGACAAGTGTGGAGTAGATGGGAGGAGCAGTCGGGCCAAAGACAGGCGCTCGTTCATAATGTATAATGCATGTAAGTGAAGGGGTGGATCAGTTTGTGTGCGTGTTGAGAGAGAGAGTCAGAGAGAAAAGAGCTGCTTTTCACTGTTGCATTTACCCCTTATCACTCTCTTTTTGTTCTCCTCCTGGACACGGGGTAGATACAATTTTGAAACTTGATAAAGAGCCATGGTGGGGTTGTCAGGAGAGTCTAATGTCCCTGCTATATATAATCCTGGAAAGTGTCTTCACCCTCTATGCATTGTGCTCTAATAGGTCATCACTAGGGGGGCATATTTTCAACATTGATTAATCATTTGGTCTATGAAATCTTGTCTTTTGATTATTTCAACAATTATTTCAGCTGAAGCCATAATGTATCCAACGGTCTCTCACTACTCTACATTGTTCATTCTGACCGTCATGTGACCCATATATTAATTGTTGGTACATTTGTGACTCCCCGTCCTGGAGACCGAGGTTGTCCCCTTTATGTCATCGACAATGTCTCCAAGCATTATACCTCTGCCACCAGCAGCATGGAGCGGTGTCTATAGCGGAGCGGGAAGCCTTTGGAGTGACACACTGCGTTGTGACCAAAGCGAGGCTGCGGCATGTGAGCCGTGTCACGCCTGTCAGACGGAGAGCTGTGTTTTGTTGTGCTCCCCAAAGCGTCCTCTCGCACTGGATTGCTGGGGACAGAGAAAAAAACACCACAGTTGACATTGCTGGCATAGATTAGTGTCAGTAGCTTTTCATACGGGGAAACCTGAGGTAAGCTAGTTCTATATCGTGAGTGGAGGAACAAGCGTCATATTAAACCTGTCAATACTGGATTTGTTGAGGTGTTGACTGCACTCTGGGACTCCAAAGACGTGTATCGTCAACCACAGTCTTGTCATATTTTCTGTCCAAGACGGCTTTCTTTTACATCTTTATTCAATGTATTTTTATCAGCATCTAAATTTAATACAACCCATTGAAGCACTCCTCCGTGTACAGCGTTGAGTAGACAGGCATCCTTTCATATCCATCAATGTGGCCTTGTTTTATTTCTATGGACATCATCCTCAACTTTAATTATTAATTGAACGCGCTGGCAGGTAGGGGGGAAATGTAATTACCATTTCCATAACACATATTGATTCCCTGTAAAATATGTTTAGGGTAGAAATGAAACACGTGTGATAATGCTTCTTTTTCAGTATGTCGGCAAGCCTGCATGTTGAGTCTTCAAGTGCATTGCGTAATGCCCAGCTGGCCCCGTGTGTTGGCCCCACTAACCAGGGACCTCCTCTACCTTTCAACACGTTTATTTAAACAGAAACAAGAAAACGGTCACCGTCAAGTAGTATTACAACAAATTAACAGTCTCTGTAGCACAATACATTGAAATATTAACATGAAAAGTTCTTTCTCTCTTTTTGTAAGGTTAGTTAGTAAAAAAAAAACACATTGCACCCTTTTTAAATGCAGTAACGCACCTCATGAAGACTTTTTTTCCCGATTGCTTTCGGGGAGTATCGGCTAAGTCATTATTTTGCGATTACCACCTTATTTGCCACAAGAGTGCCTCTCCAGATTTCCCCGCTCGAGGGGCGGATGAGCTTTTGACTGACAGCTGGTAAATGATGTCATTAGCATCCCTTTTAGGTAAATGGAGCAGCGTCGCGCTGGCGACTGTCGATTGGTCGGAGAGGGAGGGAGTGGGGCTATTTGTCACGGCTGTTGCGCTGCCGATGATGGATGGTGGGGGGGCTACTCCAGGAAGAGGGAACTGCCCAAACTGTCCTGTTTGAGGAGCAACAGAAAGGAGGACCGGATGAGCGCGTGGTGGGTGGAGGAGGGTGGCAGCTCTTCATCACGTGCGAGAGACGGCGTTCGATAACTTTTCCTGACACTTGCTCTGCTGTCTAACGCTCCCACCGAGGAGCTACACGGAAGACGTGACGGCCCCCCATGTCTGAAAGAGATTTGCAGCCGAAATGCAGCCGAGATGAGCTTGTTCGTGCACTGATGTCATCTCACCTCTTCCAAGGTGCTCTCTGAGCAATTGACCAACGAAAAAGAAGAATCGACATGAAATATTTATAGCGCCCCTCCGCCCTGTTGAGAACGGACCATGTGTTCGTACTCAATGTGATGAATATTCAGGGTGTTAATTAGCGTGAGTGCAGCCACATGGTCCAACAGGATTGTTTTCTTTCTGGAGACATGACTGCAAACAAGGCATATTAATGAACATTCCCCTGGGACAGCTCTGCTGAAACACCGGGGCTGGATGGCAGAGCAGCAGCAGGAGGAGGTTGGGAAGAGAGCTGCACGTCACGAGAGAATCTGCGTTTCAAAACTCCTAAAATACAGGAAAAAAATAGAAGTTAATTTAATGATTTCAGGGAACAATTTGGGTGTTTTATGGTACTGCAAATTGGTATTAAAGCTCATTCGCTGGTATAAAAAAAAATGGCCGTTACTTTTAAGTTGGCTTTCCAGAAACTCTGACGGACCATTAGTAATTTTAATGGAGAAATAAATTAGTTTGGGGCTTAATTAGCAGGATTCTATTAGTGTGTGTGTATGTGTGTGTGAAAATCGTGAAGTTTTGATTTAATCTCCTGGTACCATGATTGTACCATGATTGCAATCAATTTGTCTGCCCACTTTTGACCTCAAATAGGAAGACGAGGGAAGGCTAAGGCTGTAAGGCCGGTCCTGTGGGTTTTAACATCTGCGGTTAGCCGGGCACCCGTTTCTCCGCATGACAATGTGGCATAAACATTACAGGGAGACAACAGCTCTGAGTCAACCTAAATATCTCTCAAGCTGAGGGAGGAATAGACGGACATGAAACATACAAATCTTCCTTTTGCACAACTTCTAACCACAAGATCTCAGCACACAGTCTCTGCAAGAAGTCACGTAGAAGGACACGTCTACGGGGAGGGAAGGTGCTGACCTTCGCCCCCTAGTGGTCGGGCCGTCACGCCACAGTTTCCAAATGATTTCATGAGGTTAATATTCTGCACACAGGCCCTTGAGCGATGCTTTTTTTGAACAGAACTCGAGATGACAAACTCCTGTCTGGCTCTTTCAAAGGGGATTTGAAGGATGTGCTGAGTCACTGGTGTTCTGCATCAGCTTTAATGCCAGTCAGGTTTGGATCACACAAAGCAGGACCTCACGTGCACGAAGGCAGGTTGGAGTCCGATCCGACTGTGAGGATTCTAATTATTTGTGGTATCTGGTCACTGATACGTCTCCGGTTGACCCAACCAGCCTCTGTTGTTGTCATGCATTTATTTTTGAAGGTCAATTTGTAAGAAAAACGTGATTACCGCCTCTGATCATATTTGCATTTCAGAAAAATAATCCTTGGATTAAATTGTGTAATCAGTGAGAAAATGACACTTTTCCGCAGTATTTTCTGTGGTGGGAGCTGAGTATTAACTTCAGGTCTTATCTGATAAGAAGCGATAAGTGGGTTAATTCCGCTTTGTGGCACTCACTCACTGTGCAGCCGCAGTATTTCTAAAGGGGACTTGGAGCCGAGACCATTTCTTAATGCAATTTTACACAGAGATTGCAATGCTGATTCAAGAGGATTATCCTTGATCGCCTTTGTTGGCTTTTTGGTGCCGGTTGGAGGTTTATGATGTTCATATCTCATTTTTGGCAGCTCAATTGCTCTATTTTTAGTGCTTTTACCCTGGATAAGTCTGACTAGTGGGTTCAGACGTTATGAAGTTGATGAGTAATTGCCTTGCAGTAAACTTAAACAGCAGAAACACATTACGTGAGACTGCGTTTGGGAACTCAGCTCACCGGGTTTTTGGCACAGCTGAGGTTGAGGAGCCAGATGATGAAACGAGAGTACAGAAAAGGTCCAAAAACCACCTCTGGGTACATACAAATCTCTTCTTCACTCCAAACTCGACTCGACGTAGTGTGACTGCATCATAAAAATCAAATCAAATTATCAACCATTTCCTATATCCATTTATTACTTATCGATTGCTATCAATCATCCGGTTTATTGAACGAACGATACATCCTCTAGTTGCTTTTCACCAGCTTTTTATTCCTTTTTGTTTCCATAAACCTGAGATATGGTTTTTAGTCTGTTTGTGGTCTGACAGTTGAGCGGATGGATATTGTTTGTTCTCTGCTGGTAATTTGATTTTCACACAAACCGTTCTCTGTGAAGACTTTAATTATCTCTTGGCGGCGATAAAAACACTGCAGGCAAATTGCTTTTGCCACGGAAGGGTTTTTCTACTGTATTGTTACCTGAGTTGATCGCATTGATGATCAGACGATGATGACTGGGAACCAGCCACTATCAGGCTAATGGTATTAGCTGGCTGAGGAATTAAAGGCAAGTTGTGTCATGCATTTCACTTAGTCATGGTACCGGGGCTAACCGCTGATTAGCCATTGCTAAATTAGTATTCTTTGCTATTTTCCTCTTAAAGCTCAGTCCACCAGACTGGATTACTGGCTCCAGTTTTGGAAAAAATAATAACTCTTTTGGGAACTGAGCAGTTTTTGCCCAAACTGTGTGTAATCTGCATCTGTGATGATCTCACCGTGCCCTCCTCTGCCTCTTCTCCTCTGCAGGTAATGCAGGTGGTGAGGGAGCAGATCATGCGAGCGCTGACTGTCAAGCCTAATTCCCTGGACCAGTTCAAGAGTCGCCTGCAGAACCTGAGCTACACAGAGATCCTGAAGATACGCCAGTCCGAAAGGATGAATCAGGAAGACTTCCAGTCCCGCCCCATCCTGTGAGTCAAGCAATAAATGGCCAGCATACTGGAGGCACATGTGTCAAGTGGTTGTATTGTTGGTTCGAAGTGGACCACAAAGGAGTGTTGGGGGGTGCTGAGATCACGACAAATTGCCGAACTCAATGTCTCATTCATACTGTTTGGTCTGAAAGCCTTGAGGTAAATCCACTCTGAGTACAAGGAAAAGACGTTTTGGGGAGACTTGGAGGAACTGCTCAGTGGTATTACCTCAACCAAATGCCAGCTACTGACATGAAGTAGGTTTCTCCTGCGCTCTCCACTCATGATTGAAATATGCATTCAATTAAAATTGTCTGCAAATGGCATTCCAGGCGAATCCTCCATTAACGACCTTCCAGCTAACAAAGCACGGGCAGCCCGTCTGCGATGGATCATTCATTGACTGACCGCGGTTGGAGGACATTGTTTTATCCCGCCTGTATCTAATAGAGTAGCTCGCAGTATTAGGAAATTGTCTACGAGCTCGTCCGTCTGATAGTTAATGTTGAACCATTCCGCTTATTAAATCGATATTGATGCGGTACTCACTCAATATTAACAGCCAATCAATCCCGCTGGAGAAAGGAACTAAAGCAAAGGCGGTTTTTAACATGCAAAAATGTAATGTTATTCAAATTTGAATTATCTAACTGACAAGGCTTTAATATACATAACACACTGAATTCATTATTTATTAGGGCAGAAAACGGTGAATTACGATGCAACCAGTTGACTCCCGATCTCAGGCTGAAATGGACACTGCAATGAAAAAGCAAATAAAACCATTTTATCACCTTCCATCACATAATCACAGGCGGATGAGTCTCTCTTCAACAACTTGAGACTGCCCGAGGTTGGAATTTTCCTTAAATCCATACAGCACAGTCATGACTTGCAAACTTAATGAGCAGAACGTCAGAGTGCAGAGTTGAAGGAGCTCTGTATTTGCTGCTATAAGTGATTTATGCTATAAATTAACATAGAGGATGACTTAGACACTACAAGAAGGAGCTAGAGGAGCTGTTATGGGGAAAGATCAAAGCTGTGCCTCCTGCTTCTTGTCTTTTATTTTACGTTGACTCTTTGAGGTGTTTCTGTTTTAATAAGTATGATACTGTTCTTTGGAATGTAGGCAGAAAGTTTTGCATTTACTGAAAGTGGCTCGCACTAAAAATGTAATCAACTCTACATAAACCCATGCGGCAGGTAACTTGGTTGTAAGGAGGTCCTCAGAAAATGATGATGAAAAGTGGTTGTAATGTGATTCATTATTGATTCCCTGCTCCACATGTGCATATACGGTTTATTGATGACACAGGTGGTTTTCTACAGAGCTGTAAACTGATTTGGCCTTACTTCTTAAATGATTTATCTGATGCCAACCAAAGTGCTTCCTTTATAGAGGTCTACCATTACAACACCTGAGCCCTTCAATTCAATTGTCTCTGCATTTGTAGGAGATGATCCGTTTTCGATCTAACCTGATACTTCCTCCTAAAGGGGCAATAGAGCCCAAACATCCGACTGTCCTAGATCAGTTCCCTGTATCTGGCTGACGGTAAACGCCAGGCCACCAACATCAGTCCTACCTGCAGTGGGAAACACACCTGTCCAACCAGCTGAGGCTAGAGTGAAGGTCCGAGCACAGACCAATGCCAGGGCGGGGCAGGTGAGGGAGGATGAGCCAGATAAAAGGCTAAAAGTCAGGGGAAATTACAGCAAAGGATAGAAATGCAAAGCTTTTACCTGACTAGAAAAGCTAAAATCCTGTCACGGTCTCTCTGCTTCTAAAGAAAGGAAAATAATAAAGAGGTAAATTGTAAGAGAAAAGAAGTATAATGAAGAAAAATGAAGACGCGGAGCAGCAGTGCTGTTCGGCAGATGATATAAATAATTTATGTCGACTAGTGCTGTGTGCTCCACATTCATATGCAACACATGCACGCGTGCATGTAGAAGCATGAAATAATGACGGCGAGGGCTAACACAGCACAGCTTCCCACTGATCAGCCTTTCAGGACGCCTAATGACATATCTCTGATTGTGTGAGCATTCGCATGCACGTGTGGAAGTGTTTCTGTCTACCTGGAATTCTCTGTTGCCTTCTGACTCCCGTAATCCAAGGGATTGGTAAGAAGGCTGCACACTGCCAGAAGAGCTGGTAAATGTAAAACGATTCCTTTCCACATCTCAGCAGGTTTCCACCTCACTGTCACCTTGTCTTAAAAAACTGGAAGGATGTAGTTTATAGGTTTTTATAGGAGATTTCTCCTAAATTGAAGCGTGTGTTCATTTTCTGTCTCTCTTAAGGGAGCTGAGGGAGAAGATCCAGCCCGAGATCATGGAGTTGATAAAGCAGCAGAGGCTCAACAGGTTGTGCGATGGAACCTGCTTCCGTAAAATCAGTAGCCGCAGGAGGCAAGGTGAGAAGCGCGGCGCTCATGTGCACGCACACGCGCGTGCAAAAGACACGCATGCACCCACAGATCACAAACACAAGGGCATGCGGTGTCACAGAGGTAATCCATCAAGTGTTGTATTGTCAGGAATCAGGAATCAGGAAACATTTATTAGCCAAAATATGTCAAACATACAAGGAATTTGTCTTGGCGGTTGTAAGGTTGTAAGGATGTTATTATTGTTCTAGGGGGAAACTGATCTCAAAAGCCACATGAAAATAGTCACAAAACTCCACACGCTATGTGACCTGATCCATGGGTACCACACAGTCCACACACACACACATTTTAGCGATCTGAAAATAAATATAGAAGAAATTAAAAAGTAATCCGATCCATTAAATTGAAATTAAGGATAAATAATTCAAATCTGAATAATGCATTTGTAAAACTTATACATATGTTCACATTGCTTGGCATTTGTGTGCAGATTGGAAGACACATTTGTAAAAAAAAAAAAAAAATCACGTGCCAGTGGTTGTAAACATTTGTGACGCTTTGAGAGATAAGTTTCACTAAATGAATTTAGCCTTTTATACAGTTCTTCACTCAAAGAAGATTTCATCCGGTTTAAACTTCACTCTCCTCCCTCTTGCACTTTCTTTCACCCTTCTCTGTCCACTTATACAAATGATGTCAGAAAAAAGGCCAGTGACAGAACCAGGTTGTTTGTGGCTTTGTTGTCATCAGGAACTGTACTTCCTATAAGTCAAATCAAAATGAGCACAACCCGGGACATTTTCAAGCCTGGTCACGATTTGTCTTTGCAGCTGTCATCCAGACGTTTTCAAAGATTAATTACAGAAAAATGAAATAGTGGGAGGAAAATGGATTTTAAAAGACGCTTTAGGACAGATTACGTACGGTATCGTCTTCACTGCGTGTGGTTGACCCATTTCTGCTCGTCTGGCTCACATATTACCATATCGCTGCTGGTGAAGTGAAGTGGCCAGTCGGGTTACACGTGGCTTTACCGCGCTGCAACACTCTCTAGCTGTAGGCGTCTCGATGGTGTCAAGGACATGCTGACTCTCCAGAACGCTCTCCTTTTCTATCTGGTTGGCTTGTATTTTTCCTCGTGCATGTACTTCCTTCATTCATCACTGTCCTCTCACTTTCCTCCACCCGCGATCATCCATCCTGTCCTCCCTCTGTCCCCTTCTCCCTCAACTTCTTATGTGAATATCTCAAAGTCGTCCACCCTGCATGGACTCAAGTACCTTTATTAAATATGAATCTGGCTTCAGTGCAGGGGACTCGTCACTCTGCCTTCCAAAGTGCTGTTCCACCCATTACAGGGGGATGCTTCCTTCTAAAAGCTCCGGGTGATGGTCTTTTGAAGTTTGGAAGTAAAAAGGTTACCTGTGCAGTATTTTAAGTGCAACTGCACAGGTGACGTGTGTAGATTTTGCACTAAAGCAAAAATAAACTTGGCCTGAAACTTACCATGTTGTTCACCCACATTCTAGCAGCTGAATCACAGAAATATAGTTTGAATAAATAATGGAAACAAATTCAGTCCAATATAGAAAGTAAAAAGAGCAGATGCGCTTGTGTGAATAAACACACACACACACACACTATTAATTAGGCTCCTTATTCACTCACTGTGGACACTCTGCACGAGCCAATAGTCTATTTTCAACAATTAGCGTTTGGACAGTGCCCCCCATGCACGCGCCAGTCACACCTCACAGTCCGTGCCCAGTCAATGCCAGCTCAGCCCGGCGCACACAACAAACATCCCTCTGGCTGCAGTTTACAGACACAGCTGCTGGTTTCGGGGCTGCTGGAGGATTACACTTCAGCCAAGAGGAAAACACGCTGATCATCATCCATTATGGACTTTTGGGCATTGCTCTGTCCAGCCTTCATTTGTTTTTCTGGCAGTAAAAACTGTCTCAATCACTCCAAGTATCCAGTTGCATTGTGCAGTAATGCTTCTTGCAATTTCTCTCCAAACTGCTCAAACTTTTCTAATTTAATTTAACTAAACAATATCAAAGTTGGTATTTCCTTTGGGTATTTGGGATATCCTGCTTCACATGTTTCATCTTATTTTTCCCGTTAGAGAGAAACCCTGAGGTCTTAGTCCTGTGATCTTTGCTCCACTGTGCAGATTTTTTTACTGAATCATTTTAAAGATGATGAAGGGAAGGGATCCCTCCCTCATGCAAAGCATTATGGCCCATCTGTGGATTTTCCCCATCGCTGATTTCTTTTTCTTTTTTTTCTTCTTTTTTTCGGTCACAGATTTCTTCTCGTGCAAACTTTTGATCCCATTGATGACTCGATATGATGTCTTATGCCAGCTGCAAACTGATTTCACAATTCCCTCCTCTCTCTCTTTCTCCCCTCTTCGTCCCTTCTGTCTTCCTCTCTTGTTTTTTTAGATAAGTTTTGGTATTGCCGTCTGTCTCCGAACCATAAAGTCCTGCACTACGGAGATCTGGAAGAGAGCCCTCAGGGCGAAGTGGCCCACGACTCTTTACAGGACAAACGTGAGTGTCAATTGGAACATTAACGGTCTTTATCCACTATTGTCACACAGTATGCATTACACAGTAAGTGTGGGACGAGCCGCGACTTTGACAGCACTCGAGGAAAAAGCTGCGCCACAGTTTTTTTGGCTGTGATTGTTTTTTTTTCTTTCTGAAACCTGATTATTGTAACTCTGCGACAGCTGCGGCCTGAGGCATTATTTTTCCGGACAGACGGCGGGCACAGCGGTCTATTCTTGTTCTCATGGTATCTCGGCAACAACTTGAAGAATTATTTTTCAACTTTTGCTCAAAATCATCCGCCTGGACCGGAAGATGTACTGATTACATTTTGGAGGTCAATGATCAAGGCTGCCATTCTAATGACGCCATATATCAGGTTCATTCAGGGAGAAGATGGACTTGTATGGTGGTCAAAGGTCACTCTGACCTTGGGTTTTGGCTATTAATCAGTAATTAACGGTCATTATGATTTCATACAAACGTCTAATAGGATGATGAAGTGATAACCCATTTTTAACAGACTTGACGGATGGATGGAGGTATATACCTGCGAGGTGGTAATTCTATCTGCACATATCTGTCTCACTGATCGAGCATATATTACAAAAAGCTATTTTTATTATACTTGACAATTGTCGCTAACAGTCCGTGTTAAGGAAAATATCAGCTTTACTTGCAGTGACGGATGTGAGGAGAAACTTCTAATCCCTCGAATAAACCGGCCGCCCATCTGGCTGACCCATTTGTATCAGTGTTGTTCTTGTTGTTGTTGTTGTTAACTCGCTTGTGTCCTCTCTGCAGTGCCTGTGGCTGATATCAAAGCTGTTATCACCGGAAAAGACTGTCCTCACATGAAGGAGAAGGGAGCCCTGAAGCAAAACAAGGTGTGTCCGTGTGTGTATTTGTGTACACATGCATGCATGTGTGTGTGTGTATCTAGGCGAGGAGACTTGTTTCTGTGTGCGTGAGGGTTGTATAACATGTCAGTCTAATTCTTTTGCCTTGGGAAATAAGAAATGACATGTCTTTCGGTGCTCAGCGCAGAAAGACGTATCCAGTAGTGGAATTGTGAAGGCGAGAGTCCCAGAATAGTCCTCAAGCTGAAGACGGCAATCACAAAAGAGCCGCCAGAAAACATGACTCCTTCTTTTCTTTGCTGTTCAAATTTGAAAGTAACACATTGGGCCCCAGCCAGGAAGAAAGAGCCATCTTGTCTGTGTCTGTGTCCACATCAGCCCCGTCTCTTGCTCTTTGCCTCTGCAAACCCTCGCCCCCCCCTCCATCTGCAGGACTCTGATATATTGGATAAATAGCCATGAAGACAAAGCAGCACGCCTCCTCCCTACTTTGTCTCCTTCATTACCAAGTCGATAAGCACACCTTGTCTGGGGGGAATGACCCGAGGGGCCTGCGGGCCGTCTGGCCGGCCTGTCCAAGCGCTGTGAATAAGAACACAAGCGCATTTCATTACTCACTTCTACAAGAGCAGGCAAAGTCACCTCTGTGGGCTTCAAGGCGAAGCTGCCATGTGGATTATTTGTGGGACACTGAGACAGAGGTGGGAGTGTGAAGTGTTCTGCAGTGTTGGTTGTAATTATTCCGTACACACATACCCCTGTGAGCATGTGATCAGCTTTGTTTCAGACGCTTATTGTGCGTAGAGGCATGCGTCTTACAGGTTCACCGACCTGGAAGCACTTTTTGCTTGTCGTCTTTTACCAAACGTCCGGAGGATGTGTAATGAGGGAACTGAATAGACCAGAAAAAATGGCTAAAAAGACTATCAATAAATGAGCAAAATGTTCCACCGAATAAGGAGCTTTGTGGCCATAAACAAAGCTGCTAATGCACTGCACTGTGGGGATTATACTTATTTAATTTAACCCACATTTAGCTGCACTTGTTACTCTGGAGACTAAAATATCTGATAACATGGATCGTCCAGAAAGTTTGTATGAGTATTCATGCCATCCACGATCACTCAGACGTTAACATTTAACTCAAAAAAACACCGTGCCGATATACGGCCCGACTGAGCTTACAGCATCACCATGGACCCTTTCACTACACATCTTTAAAGCCTCATTTGAGAATGGGGGACAAACCCCACTACTGAATTACATATTTCAAGCTCTCCCTCACAAAGTGCAGCGAGGCTGCTGTTCCAGCCACTAATCACCTGCTAACGTAGCAAATCAGATGCTAATTTCACACAGATTACAATCAAGCATTTAATAAATTGCGTTCATGTGCACAAATGTGATTCGTAGTGTGCCGGTTTCATCTCCTACAGAGGAGAGCGGACTTTGTTGGAATACGCCAGGAAGCATATATCGCGTCATATTCCCAGTCTCCCAATTTCCCAGGCATTTTTCACCATGTAGTATCTCAGGGCCTCCCATGTATTTCTCTCTGAGCTCTACCTCGCTGATACGCGATGAGTTGATGTGCTGCTGATCTAACAGACAAAGCATGTTGAGAGGCAGATTGTGGTATAAATCGCAGCCGCTTCTCTTATTCCTGACACCCTTTTTCTTCTGCTGCATCTTCCCCTCTGTCTCTGCACCATGTTCTCTGTCTCTCTGTCTCGCTCCCTGTCCTCTCTCCAGGAGGTGTTGGAGCTGGCCTTCTCTGTCCTCTATGAGTCGGACGAGTATTTAAACTTCATTGCTCCTGACAAGCATGAGGTAAGCCAACGGCGACGACGCCCACGAACACACGTGATCGCACAGAGGCAACGTTTTTTCAGTCGTGTTATTTTATACATGTAACTCTCCTCTCTCGTCATTCATTTTCTAGTGGTTTGCTTCTTTTATGTCAGGTGAAGAAAAAAACATAGCGTTCTTTATTTGTGGATTCAGTGTGTTGGTTTGTTACTTATGAGTCTTTCCGTTTGATTCATGTCATTTTGGTCTCTGTCTGTGTCTCTGCAGTACTGCATGTGGACAGATGGTCTGAACGCCCTCCTGGGTAAGGAGATGACCAGCGAATACACCAAATCCGACATGGACACCTTGCTCAACATGGAGATGAAGCTCCGGCTCTTGGATCTAGAGAACATCCAGATCCCCGAGGCCCCGCCCCCCATTCCCAAAGAACCTAGCAACTACGACTTTGTTTACGACTGTAACTAGAAGAACAACCCCCATGAGCCCAAACCTACCCAGCACCTACTGTACTCCCTCCAACCAATTCCCCTTTCTTATAAACTGGAACAAATTGAAAAAAAAAAAAGATGTAATGTAAAAGATGAACTGTGACTAAACGAAAAAGGATCTATTGAACTATTTTCCTCTTCTTTGCGTTTGGCTAGACCTTTCCAAGAGAGACCACGGTGCATAGTAACAGGCTCGCTGCGCTAGAGGGGACTCTGGTTTCGATGCAGAGTCCTCAGGTTGCCATGGAGAATATTTTTCGCCTGTCGTTCGGTCGTCCTCCGTCTCTTTCGGCACTCTGCGTCTTTCCGCGTCTGCTGTTTTGAGACGTTCTCCTCCTTCTCCTCGACCGGAGGCGCCTGCAGTCCTTATTGCAGATTGTGGTAGACCAATGTTAGAAACGTATCTTCCTTGTTGTCCTTTTTTATGTTTACTTCCCTCAGGGCTTCTTGGGAGGGATGGATGATGGCCGCGTAGCTCGGAGAGGAAGGGGTTTGTGTTTTGTTGTCACCTTTTCAGCAGTATTTCCTGTCACATTCTCACATACAGTATTTGTGGCAGCTAAATGTTTTCCAAGAGGCGGATTAAAGTACAATTTAAAATATTCTCTAATATCCGCTCTGTCCTGCTACGCATTTACTGAAGACTGTTAGAATAAGTCAATTCTCTAAATGAAGGCACTGTACATTAGTAAAGAACGTTTCTTTTAAAGAGTAAAATGTTGACGTTGCTGTTCCACTGCTGCTTATTGCATATTGTACACAACTACAGAGTTGCTTTGCCAAATACAATCTTAGAAGCGGCACCATTGTGAAAACCCAAACAAACACACTCGTCTCTCCCCCGTTTGTCTCTCTCGTCGTGATAACTGCTGTACACAACATTCCGAAGCAATATTTGAGCTTTTTTTTTTGTTCATCATTTTTTTAAATGGTCCTAATTTAGGGATTTTAAAGTTGTGAATCTGCCTAATTGAGTTAGTATTGCAAAGGAGATGTTATTGTTTGGTCAAGGGAAGTTGTCTTTTCTTTGTGTGTTCAGGAGTATACAGCCACAGAATTGAACGCTTTTTTTATTTTTTTTATTTAAACAGATCATGGTTTTATTCTAGTATGATTCATATATTTTCCCCTGCCTATTTAATACCTTCAGATGTTTTTCTTTTAGGATTTTTCCAAGCCCCTCAAAACTGCTGTTTACATTAAAGATTTAAGAACTGTAACTACTTTTCCTTCTGTTCCTGTCTTCATTCATGAACCACAGTCACTTGAAGGATCATCTGGTGTTTTGGACAACATTGCTTGATTTTCACGTTTTTGTGCTGATATATCCATCAGATCGACTTGTGTGGACCAACTGTACACTGTTGACACTTGAGAGGTGGTGTATGAATTTTGATTTTTACAGAAAGCAATATGCTTAAATACATGGATCCAACCTCCCCTCATTCGTTTTAAAACAAGTTAATAAAAACCATTAGTGCCAGTCCAAAGAAACTACTTCAATTATTTTGTTTTAAACATACTTCGCATCTCACACACTAAGTTGGTCGGATGTAATGCGGGTGTTTTTCATGCACAGTGGCACAATGTATCTGCTACTTTATCACCTCAAAGCCTCCAGGTTCATTTCCCTCAAGTTGCAACCTGAAGCTGTCGTCTCTGAAGCACTTCTAACCGGCAATGGTACCGAAAAGACCCCAAAAGACACCTAATGTTTCATAAAAACCTTTCACTTTGTCAACTAATTAGATATTTGACTATTGCATCTGATACGAGCGCGCATTCTTCGACAGCCGGCTCTCTAACGTTGGCAGGACGTCCAGACACGTCCGCCTGCCTCACTCGTCAGTGTCCGCTTTGCAGTGTTTTCAAAGTAGCAAACAAATGCAAACAAATACTAAAGCTGCTGTTTCTTGTCTTTTCTTATCGACTTCCTGAGTTCAATCCATCGGTGACGGTGTTATTGGAAGAAATGTTGTCTTGATGGACTAAATAACTAATCTTATGCGGCTCAAGTAGCAGCTAGACGGGCAGTGAGAACGTTTTCCTGCTCATCATTTGTATTGACTTATTTTCCCAGCTTTTTCTCTCTTTCTGCTTCATTAGTGGAGACATTTGAGCAATGTGGACCCAGTAATGTTATTGATTACTGCAGGGACAGACCCATATCCCTCGTAGACCATCATTGTTCTCCTGGGTTCCAGAGCAACGCTCTTCAGTCAGCGTGGAGAACACAGAACAACGCTGGCTGCAGCATTTCTGACGTCAGTATGATGGAACCCTCCAGCTGCACAGTTACTGATTAATAGCTCCGACTACGATCACAGACACACTGATGTCCCTGTATCTTTTAATCCAAGTAAAACAGAAGTAGCTCAGAAAAGGACATGAAGACCTCAGTGTGTCAGTCATTTTCCAGTTTGTTTTATCTGTCTGATTTGCTTTGTCTTGTCTTTTCTTGCTGGCTGATTCTGTTTAGGGTTTGTTTGCTATTGTCAAGGCCACTGTTGATTGATCGGACTGCACCAACGGAGCCCTGGTGAAGCAGGTAACCTGAATTTTGTTAGTCATTATTTCGGTATTTGGCTCATATTCCAATTTTCTACCACACAAATGGAAATTGGCTATCAAGTACTTTTGCGGTACTGTACAAATCCTAAACTAGCTAATATTCTAAATGTTAGAAGGAAAAAGTTCAAATATTTATCATTAGCTATCTCAGTAATGGATCTAAAAGTCTCATTTTCGCTGGTGGTTGAGTGGTGATTGAAGAGACTGCTGCCGTCAGTCAGCGTTTACAACAGTTCTACAAGCCCACCTTGACTAATCGACTAGTCTGACTAGATAAATCCACTCGACATGAGTGAAAAACAAATCAAGTTGTAAAACTCCACAATCATTTGGTATATTTGGTGTTTAAATTGATTAGATTTCCCAGTTAAAAGCAGCTGTACCATTTTTGCTACATAAGAAAAACATGATCACCAATCAAAGACATTTAGGGTTCCCGGAAGGAGACGGGGCAGCCTGGAATGCCCTCGTAGGCCTGTTGGCTCCACATCCCGACCCGGAAAGATGATGGGTGGATACTGTCTCTTTATATGCCAGTTTAATAGAAAGAAAAAAATACTTTTGTATTCGTATACTATAACTTTGTTCAAGACCGTTTTATTTTGATTGTTTAATAGCCTATATATTGACTTGTCATTAAAAAATGATTCAAAATCAGTGGTAAAGCAAGTAATGCTGGCAAGATTTGTGAGAAAGATTTTATTTTGACAATTACATAATTTATCCCCTGGTATTGTACATATATACAGATTACATTATAAGTATAATGAAGTCGGTAGGCAATACTACATTCATGTACATTATCTTTAAGCTCTATAGCTATTAAACTACATTGTTTAATTATCGTCCCTGATTCCACTAACTAAAAATGAGTGTGTGTGCAAGCCCGTCTGATCAGGCTAAAGTCACACGTTGTCCAGCTTTAAATGTGGATGAATTAAGAGATTTTCCATCTTCTACACGGTCGAAGGCTTCATACCTAAAAAATAAATAAATACAAAAGATGAATTTGACAGTTAACTCATGGTATGTTTATCATAAAATAGACCTGGTATCCTCACACTCACAGTTTTGTGTATCTGCTGCAGTCGGCCTTACTGAGAGACGGTCTCGTCACAGCCAAAGCGGAGTTGACGTGAGCCCGACGCAGCAGCAGGCCCGGCTGGCTGGAGACCGAAAGCACGCGCACACGGGCCTCCTGTAGGCGAAGAACACGAGTAATCATGCACCCGGTAGCAATCTGACAACGCTGCTCAATACAACTGCCATGAGCAGAGAAGTATAGAGGGAACTAGATGTAGGTGTGTGTAACTGAGCAGCAAAGACTTAAAGCCTTTAGCATGCACAACCAACAGATACTTCATGTCGTCACCTACGTTGGCTCTCCTGTAGTTGTTTTTGATGCTGTTAACGTCTTGTTGTAGGCAATCCAGCTGCTCCGGGCCGAGCTCGTTGTACCCGCTCTGAAGGGAGGACATGTAGGCAGGGGTGAGCGAGCGTCCAGCCTCCCGGGCCGATGCCCTTGTTAAGTCGTGGGTCAAGGAGTTCGGTCCAGAGACGCAACGAGAGTTCTGTCATTGGAGAGGAGAGAAAAGGGAACCGCTGAAAAGCACTGCACCATTTGGCATAACGGAGTGTGATGTTCACTACTTCAACCAGATGTGTGACAGTTTAATTTGCATCATTACAACCCAAACACTTCTACAAAGTGTCCTTCTAATGTTTATTATTTATATTTCTGTACGGTATTATGACATTTGTTTCAGCTAACCTTTTTCTATCACACTTATTTTTATGTTTTTTTTCCCTTGCAAAATATTTAGAGCTGCATGAATTGTGTGTTCCTAACCTGTAGCAGGTTCACCAGATACAGATATTGTTTCATCTCTGTAGGATGGAAAGTAAATGAGCGTATTTCCCCAAAATGTTGTACTATTCCATAAGTCTCAGCTTGGCAAACATATTCCACAATAAAATGTGTGAAACTATTATTGAATCATTAAATGTTCACCGGCACTCACCGGCCCTGAAGTCGGTAAACTCTCTGACTCGAATGAGCTTCCGAAGTAGATTCTCCAAACATTCCCATAATGTGGTCCGTCTTCTGCTTGGAGATCACTGGGCTCCAGGAGAATCATTGACTGGTCCAGCCCCACACCTGGGTCCCCCTCCCCAACTGAATCATCTGAGCCGCTGCTGTTGTTTGGGAAGATCATGGAGGACAGGCTCATGTCGCTGTCAGAGCCGGAGGTCAGCTCCTGATTATCAGAAGGAAACGTGTTAAGATTTAAAAGTACACAAGGCTTTGTTCTCAAAGACTTATGGACCAGCCATAAGTAGATCTGCTACTCATTTCATTTGCTTTGAGAAACAAAAACAAAACATGGCTGCTTCACCAACCATGGTGAACCACCATGACTCGTCACCTACATGTGTCGTGCCAGCGTGCATGCTGTTGTGGACGGCTTCTAGCTGTGCATTGTACAGCAGGGCCTTCAGGTCTGCCCCGGTGAACTGCTCCGTCGCCGCTGCCAGCTGCTCAAGGTCCACGTCGGCGGCCAGGGCCACGCCGGCGCTCAGAGCCTTCAGGATCTCTGCACGAGCTTCCTGGAAATGGAACGGTTGGATTTACCGACGAGGTCACACCTTGAATGATCGCTACATTTCTTACCAGTTATCCCGCCTCAATTCTACTGGTATTTTGTTACAAAACGATTGATTATAGGGGGTTGACTTCATTACACAGACCAGGTCAGGAGGGGGGCAGTACAGGGACTTGTCCAGGCGTCCAGGCCTCAGCAGCGCCGGGTCAATCAGATCTGGACGGCTTGTTGCTGCAAGCACATACACACCTACAAGTGCAAACATGTTGGAATATTATCGATTCAACTCAAAGCAATAGTTTGTCATTTTGAGAAACAATTTTACTCTATAACCGAAGTGAGGGAAATGTATTGTACATCGTGGTAATTATATGCATATTGTGTAAATACTGCAGTTACGGTCATCTACATTTTTTTTGGGCCACAATAATAGTGCAAATGTAATAATGTGACCCCCTACTGAACAAGTAGATTTTCTTGCCAAGAGTTGGATGAGATGACAGATATCACTCTCATATCTGTTTGATAACTATGAAGCTGCAGGCCTGAGATGCTTATTTTAGCATAAAGACCAGAAACAGCGCTACCCAAAACCAGCCTAATCAGCCCACGGACCTCTCCAAAGCCCCCCGTGGGCAGCTATGAGTGGTATCGATCTTCTTATCTAACTCGATCTTAACTATAAGAAAGCACAATTGACGAAAATCTCATGAGTGCAGCACTGATCAGTAAACTATGCCATTAGAATCGGTTTCCTTGGCACTTTTAAGTGGATTGTCATACAGACAGAAGTCACCGACCCTGCAGTCCCTCCACCCCGTCCAGCTGGGTGAGGAGCTGGTTCACCACGCGGTCTGTTACACCTGTGCTGTCGTGGCCCCTTCGTGGAGCCAGAGAATCAAACTCATCGAAGAAAAGAATGCATGGCTTGGCAGCTTGCGCCCTGGAGAAAAGAGAGGAAAATATGTGAATCACTGTTAGCGGAGCTTAAAATTATTTTAACTTTCATGTTGTAATTAGCTAATTGCTGGATTTGTGACGATAGGGACCATGT